ATGGTTGTTAAGTTCCTTAAGCTTGTTAAGTTTTCAGTACTGGTGATCTTGTTAATATTGATAGAGCTGGGGTTGGCTGCATTTATATTCTTTGACAAGAGCTGGAAACAGGTTAGTTTGACCTTTATATTTCATCTTTAGTTTCACATATTTGTGAATTTGATAACAAGTTTAATATGAACAGGAAATTCCAACTGACAAAACTGGAAATTTTGATATGATATATGAATTTCTTGAGGGGCACTGGAAAATTATCAAGTGGGTGGCTTTGGGAGTTGTCATAGTAGAGGTAAGGCTTACTGGGATGCTTCTCATAACCATGAATTAAGTTAAATTCATATATATCAGCTCTATCTAACCATACTATTATCGGTTTATGTACACATAGAGCTGATATTAATGACTGTCAAACTGCAGGCCCTTATATTTTTGTTAGCGCTTGTTGTAAGGGCTGCAAATAGCCCAGCAGACTATGATAGTGATGAAGAATACATAGGTGGGCCCAGGCAACAAATCAGACAGCCATTGATAAATAGGCCAGCTGCTCCAGCTACAGGTGTCCCTGTTACTGGTACTCTTGATCACCGTCAAAGTAGAAATGATGCTTGGAGTACACGAATGAGGGAAAAGGTGAAAACTTTCATTACTGTTTTTTACCACTCCGAATGCATTTTTTATCTTTTATCCTTTATCCTTTCTGTAAGGCTATATTTCCGAAACTCATGTTTGTTTATAGAAATTTTCAAAAAATTTCCAACATTTTAACTCAACCACTTTTTTTTAACTCAACTTTAACTCCACCCCACTATCATCAATATTATCAATATAATTAAATAATATCAATCAATCATTAATGTCCACCACATCAACCTTAATTCACTATTCATCCACTCACATAATTTTAACTAACCATCACTTCTAATCATCTCTTTCCTACTTTTACATCAAATCAATTTTAATTATTTTATTTTAAATATTATTTTAATATACTCACTAACAATTAACCATACCACCTTTTTCAAAATTAACCAAACTAAACCAAACCAAAAATTTCCAAACATATCAGTCAGTTGTTGAGTGATTCTTTGGTGCTACCCAATAGACAAGTCATTTGCTATTTAATGTGATTACAAGTTAAGTATGCTGAAAAATTAGCTAGTCTGATGCAGGAGATTATTAAGAAATATAAAGCACCTAAATTATGAGAGATCTTTTGCTTATGTGATTTCTTCCCGCCACTTGCAACAGTGCAGGCTTTTTGGCAATATGTTTACAGAAAGCTTATAACCCCAAAGTTAAATATTCCTACATGTTCTTCGCTCGTGTAGAAATCTGCAATTTGGAAAATATGCCCTGTGTTTAACTTTCAGTTCTGATTTTTTGCCTTTGACTGGTTGATAATAGATACCATGTTGTGAGGCAAATGTGAGAAGATATGAGTGAATTCAATGTGTATTATTAATTAAGATCTCAAAATAAATGCAAGGAATCTATATATATATAATTACTAGCTCAAAACATTTAATAAAACCTATTTAATTTTACCTATGTGGCAATTTAACAATTTTCCCTCCAAAAACCGTTACATTTTGATGTATTAATCTTTCATTCAATCATTAAATAATTAATACTCATCACTTCAAAATTACAAAAATTATTTTAAACTTTTGATTAATGACAGTTGACCATATAATGTGTTGACCGTATAATGTGATTAGATGTTATTATTGTTGTTACATTTAATTTTTTTTTTTGAAAATAAAAAATATATTTGAAATTCCTAAATAAATAATAAATAATTCACAAATAAAATACGTACCAAAATATACATTACATCCAATCAGATAAACGCAATTTAAAAAAAAAATATTCCAACTCTTTTAATTGTAAATTTGGTCTGCAAAAAAGTGAAAGAAAAATAATTAATCATCATATGCATACAGACTCACAATAATTTATTTATATCTGTGCAAATGCACAGGTCGAATACTAGTATCACTAATACACAAAGTCCATTACTAACAAATATTCTTATTTACTCGAGCACAAACAGATTCTGTCATGGTTGAATTGTTTATCCCGTTTGTTATTTAATGTTTTTGCTTACGTGTACCGGAATCTATGGCTATTTCAAAGCTGTAACAAATGTGCTTATCCAAAATTATATGTTGGGGCATTGTTCCGGCTTTCTAAGTGTACTGCTTTTGTGAACAATAATACTAATTACTGAAGAATGATATTTGCGTTCGGTTATTGATTCTATTTGATTGTGTAAAAGTACGGATTGGATACCTCGGAATTTACATACAATCCATCTGAGTCGAACAGGTACCAGCAAGCTGCAGCACAACCACCTGAGGCAACAAGTCGCTGCATCATTATGTAATGTGTTCAGCAAAATTTGAATTGTTAAATTTGATAATATATTTTAATAAGAAGAGTAATAATTTTTGTCATGTGTATTTTCGGCAGTCCATTTTTTAAATAAATTAATACAATTTTGGTAGTATAGTACACCTCATTTGTTATATCTTAGGTTTTTTGCTGCATTTTGTGTACTCATTAATCCCCATATATATATATATATATCTATAACAGTATTTAAACATTGAAATAAGACCTTTACCATTTTTACATCGAGTATATAAGAATATATTGGTTATAAACTTACAAAAATAAAAAAATAAAATCAAAACTCAAATTTAACTAACTTTAATTCAATATCACTATCCTCAATATTGTCAATATGATTAACTAATATCAATGTTTTATTCTAACATATAACATCAATTTTTTTAATTGACTATTTATTCTCACATAATTTTAACTAACCATCACTTCCAATAATTTTTTTTTTTTTTATATCAAATCAACTTTAATTATTATTTTAATATAAAATATGAAGTTGTGGGAGAATACACACTANAAACCAATTAAATCTATATCCAATCAGTATTCTACTATTGGGTGGACCATGTAATTTGTTCAGAGTGAATAATAATGTCAACTTTAATCAAAGTTATGCTATGTATTAAATTGATACTAATGAGGGTGTGTATTCTTTCAGAATTCATAAAGAAAGATTTTTAAGAATGTTATTATGTTACAACAAAAATTCTATGGAGCTATCGAATGGTTTTTTTATGGAGCCATCCATTACTTAATATATTGACACATATCCAAAGTGTATTTATTGTAGGACACGTGTCAATACACAATTTGTCAATAACTATGGATGACTTCACAAGTCGAGCCATCGGATGGCTCCATAGCAAAACTGTATGTTACAGTATTTTAAGTTAGGGCTCAACTAATGAAGTCTGAATGGGATAGTTAAGTTACAACCTAGGAAAAGTTTAATATGATTATGAACAAGGTTATTATCCTCCTACATGTACCAATATACATTCCTCTTTCGGTTCAAATGAAAAGCAAAGATGTAATCGTCAAGCGAATCTCGAACGAAGGCAAAATGTGGTCATATTTCCATCCCTAACCAGGCTTGGCTTGGACCTGCTAATAATAAATCTGATAATCCCAACTAAGTTGAGCATCTCACTTTGTGTATGATATTACAATGTTCTTTTATTTGTTTTATTTCGATCCAAATGCATGACAGGGTGTCAATCTATTTCTACGCCTTCCTCTCGAATACGGTCGATCACTCTGCAATATGAACATAAACCGACAAAGTAAACTGATAAAACGATCACCTAATCGGTCTCATCATCAAAAGAAGAGTTTTTGCATGGTGATATGGTGATGCCTACTATCACGCCCCTACACCCTTAGTTGGCTCATAGTCATGATGATCTTTCTACTTTTTCTGAGTATAAATTCAACCCTTGAGGCCCATGAAAAACACAACCGAATATCCAGTGAAATATTCCTTTCTCAATCTGCAGCGGTGGATCCAGAATTTTTTATGAGCCATGGAAAAAAATAGTTAAAATAAAACTTTCAACAATATTAGTTGCATAAAGTACTTATATTAACAAGTAACTAAATCGTTGAAACAATCGAGAGGAATTCTCTATTCAATTTACCTTTGACTTGATACTCAAAATAAAATGAAGAATGAGGTCTGAATATTTGATTTCGCATTTTTATTATTAAGAAGTATAGCAAAAATATTTTACAATTTTCTGTCATTTTTTGTAATAAGTTATAAATGAGTCATTTTGAAATATAATTTATTAATTTTAAAAAGGTCTAGATGTCATCATTTTAGTTTATGTTGTTTTATAAAGAGGTCCTTATGAGTTATGATCTTCTTACATACAAATGTAGAGTTTTTCAGCGCTTTGTAATTCTGTATGTTAATTTACAAGGGTTCGAAATAGTCTATATAAATAATTAAATATATACCTTTATTCATGTTTGTTAGAACTTTCAAATTTAAAAACTTGACTAACTTAAATTGCAAAAATATTTTAAAAGTTAATAACATTTATATTTGCTATTATTTTTTATATGTGATAAATTAAAGTAATCACATTTTATAATCTATAATTTGACATTCATATCGTATATATAAATAAAAATAATTAAATTTATATACTTATCAGTTATAATTAAAAAAAACAATAAATTTATCTATCAAACTTACTATAAAGTATAAGTACCAAAAATATTGTAATATAATACCATCGAATCTGACAGGCGAGGTGTATCATTTTAAATGAAATAAAATATTACTTTGTAAGAATTATTTAAAATTCTAAAATAAAAATTTATATTATATATTTTTACAATTATTAAATATAAGTTTTTTTAATCAACATATGTTAATATATAAATTATATAGTTAGCAAAAAAAATTCAGCCTAGGCAATTGCCTAGGCTGGACAATATATGAATCCGCCCTGTCGATCTGTTACATGATCGACAATCTGCTTGTGCAGTTTTCAATTTCAGTTTCATATCTCTGCTTATATACGTTTGTCGCTAATTCTATTAATTTTCATACTGTAATAAACTTTATTATATACAACTTTAATCTCCAAAACCCCACGATTATACCGTTCTTTATTATGGTTGACGTCGACCGTCAACAATAACATCTAAAACTAGACTTTCTCATCGCATACACTAATGTAGTTGCTCGTGTTGTGCGTGGTTTTATATATTGGTTGAGATTTAGTTCTTTTCTTTAAAATTAACCGATTCTTGCAGGGGCGAATGTACATGTATTAATAGGGGGGCAATTGTCCCCCTCAAATTTTTTTTTTTTTTTACTATTAATATTAAAAATTTTAATTTGCCCCCCATTTAAATTTATTTTTGCATCTCCATATTTTTTTGTTTTTAAACGTCACTCGCTAGGCCAACTTGTCCACAATTGTCGATTAACAATTCAACACTTACTTTTATTTTACTAGTACTACTAATTTTGTATATTAATTATTATTATTCTACAATTTTAATTAGCCCATATAAAAGACTTCAACTCTCTTTTATTGCCCAATCTAGGGCTGGTATTTTTTGACCGAAAATCAAAAACCGAGTCGAACCGAACTGATGAGAAAATAAACCGAACTGAACCGACTTATGTGTAACGGTAACCGAAATGTTATCGGTTCGCTATCAGTTCTGAACCCATTATGTCAAGTCTTTTGCCCCTCTCAACTAATTTTCTGGTTTCGCCCCTGAATTCTTAGATAATGATTATTTAGTTTGATCTTCATAATTATGGATCCAATTTCAATTGCAAATACGTTTATTGATATCATGCTAGTTGATATAGTCCATTTCGGTTGAATCGGGGTTAACATGAGAAGTCCAGCAGGTTGGCCTATTTAGACTTAATTCAGGTCGGATGGCCTGAATTAACGAGAATGACCCTGAAAAAATTGACATAGCTATTCAACTCAGTCATATTAAGACAAGTGAGTCCATCTTGGGAAACTGACAGAGGTATCTACCTCGGTCATACTTAGGACTGCCTAATTAAGGAACAGACAAAGCAAACATATGCGAGCTAACAACTCATAAGACTTACAGCTCCAACATAATAAGGCCTGATCCGATATAGAGTGGTGTGAACACAACAATATGAACGCAATAGTATGTACACAACCAGATAATAATGAAGCCCGGTCAATCCTTGGGCAACAAGTCGGTACCTTCGGGCGGTCATTGGGCGACAAGAATTAATTGTCAAGACACATAATCAAGGTATTCACCCTATATAAAGGGATAATTAAGGTACAATTGAATGTTTGTCTATGTGATGTTTGGATATTATAGATTATTATTCATCATCTTATTCTCCTTTTCAATCATTGATTTGAGAGTCGGAGTGTTCGAGTCGAGACTTCTTCCTATCTTGTTTTGCAGGTTATCAACTTTATTCGAGTGGTCAGAAGTTTTCATTCGCGAACTCAGATATGATTTGAATGTAACATCTTATCATGAATTATGATTTGAATGTATCCAAAACTCAAACACTTTCATAATATGTTGACATTCGGACATCAATGACCACGCGTTCGCAAGAAACTTATCATTAAATATGTCTTCTAATTGCTAGTTTACTTGATTAATTTTCTCTATGCATGCTGTGGAATATAAAACAAACTCATTCAGTGAACTAGAAATAATTATATATTTCACCAAAAGTCGAGCTGAAAGACCAAAAGTCAAAGGAGCTTCACAGTTGGGCGTTGGACCTTGGTGTGTTTGGACATAAGTGTGATTTGTACCAAAAGACAAAATAAGAAAAAGGTCAAAAAAATAAATAAAAAACTCAAAAGTAGATAAAATAAAATATAAAATAAAAGTAACCCATAAAGACAAATACAAGTGATGACACCTACACGTTGACCCTGCTCAGTGATTCTGCTTATTTTCTTCCCTAACGCGCTCTGGACCTAATCCATACACACACATGTCAATGAGTCCGATTTTGAAATTCTGATATTCGAGCTTATTTATTGTGTCGAAATCGAGTCTTAATAAATTAAATTATATTAAAATTAAAAAAATGGAGTAAATTTTTTTACTTAATCAAACATAATTAGTCGAGCTCGTTGACTAACGAGTAGAGTTAAGTTTAACCAACAAGAAATCAAATTCCAACTTCACGATTCGTCATTGGTCATTTCCTAAATTGTCCATGGCTAAAATTGTCCGTCCATCAGCCAAAAATCCAATACCTGGCTTTTTTTTGGTTTTTACTTTATGTGGGGCCCATTGCCCCTCAAATTTTTGAAAATATGAAAAGCGTCGCGGTCGCTAGGTCATCACACCTTCCCCAATCAAAAATATTTTCAAATGCGTCTCCCTCTCTTTGCTCCGATCCCCTACTTCTCACTCGCTTGAACCCATTGTATGAAGTTTACAAATATGCCCTTCTCTTGCTAAGCTTAATGCACTTGTAGCGAAAATTTTTATGCAAGACGTCTAACTGTAAACTTGTTACTATAACACAGTTTTAACAAAATGTACGATATTTAAATTTAAAATATACATATTTATTAAAATATAACAACTACTATTTGATCTGTCTAATGATTAGATAACCATATTTTCTCATAAAAAATATATAGTTATACTATAAAATATCGTGTTTTTTCTCATATTTTAATTTATACTATGATATTTAAATTTGAAAGTATATTTATTTGTAGGAAAAATATGACTTTCCAACTATTCGACAGCTTAACATAAAACCAACCGTTATTTAAACTGTATGACTTTCTAACCATTAATTATTTGAGTGAGATTAAGTGATTTATGAATCTCACCTGCCCAACAATATTTTTTTTAATTGCAAACTTTTGCCGATTTGTTTATTATTATTGACATTGTGATTTGTGGAAATGCATGTAAATGTCACATGTAATGTAAAGGCTAAATACAACTCACTTGAGCTTTTTTAATTCATATTCATTGAGATTACGCGATTTTTCTTTAGATTATTATTATATTTATTTTCTAGTTGTGAACATTAGAGTAATTAATCAAATGCACATAATTAGAGAGCAGAGTACAGTAAACAGTAAAACTCACTCACTCTTTCTCTCTCTCTACTGTAGTAGTCTAGGCACTCTGACCTTCTCCCTCTCGAAAAAACAAAAGGTAAAACCTACTTCTACCACCATTGCTGTTTACCTGTACCTTCTCCCACCTGCTTCACCCCCATTTTTTTCTCCCTCATTTTTTCCGTCCAACAATCTTGGTGAAGTTAATAATACTCAGAGAAGGAAGAGGGTTGGATTTTTTTCCCCCATTTTTTTTGATGATAAATAATCATACTGGTGTTTTCTGATTCACCATTTTTGGAATTTTTTTTTCCCTTTTTGGGTTCTCTTAAGCTTAGGCGTTTGGGGGGGATAGAGATGAATCGGGGGATGTGATGGGGGCGGGGATTTCACAGGCGTTTCCATGTTTCAGCCCAGATGGCGGGCCGGGCCGGTCGGACCCGGACGCCGTCTTCACCCCGAATACGCCGCTCGACGAGACCCTCGGCCACTCGTTCTGCTACGTCCGCTCCTCCGCTCGGTTCATCTCCCCGACCCACTCCGATCGCTTCGTTTCCCCTTCCCACTCCTTCCGCTTCGACGATCCGGTCCACCCGAGGCCCTCCAAGCCGCCCGGCTTCCCGGAGACCGGTTTCTGGACCATATCCGGAGCCTCCGTCGGAGCCAACACCTCCACCCCCATAACCGTCCTCCAATTCGACGATTCCGCCGCCGATGCCGCCGGGCAGTATCATCACTACAGCTGTGACGCGAATCTCGCCGGCAACAAGGGTTTCGTGGCCGGAATCCCCAGGGGCGGCTGCAACAGTGTTTCGCTCGATGGGTTCGAGAGCACGTCCTCGTTCAGCGCCTTGCCCCTGCAGCGGGTCCCACGAGGATGCGAGCCGCCATCGGGCCCTCTGGAGAGGGCTTTCTTCATGTCGGGCCCAATTGAGCGTGGTGCCCTTTCTGGGCCGCTGGATTTGGCTGTATCGAGCGAAAATAATGGGGAGGTGCCCTTCTCGGCGCCACTGGGAGGGGTTTATGTGAAGAAGAGGAAGAAGAAGAGTATCTCGGGAATGCGCAAGGCGTTGTACAGAAACTTCTCGGTGGTGCCTGTCGTGAACTTCATTAGTGGAGGAGGTAAGAAAGAGCTTCCCTCGGCTGACGATGGTTCTAAAGAGGGAGTGGAAGTTGGCCCTGAAAGCAATGTGCAGTGGGCTTTAGGAAAGGCGGGAGAGGATCGAGTGCATGTGGTGGTATCAGAAGAGTTAGGCTGGCTGTTTGTGGGAATCTATGATGGATTTAATGGACCCGATGCCCCTGAATTTCTGATGAGCAATCTGTACAAAGCAATGTATAATGAACTAGAGGGTCTGTTTTGGGAGTCGGAAGATGTTGGAGCTCCAGAAAATGCACTTGATGCAGGGAATATACCATCAAATGCTGATAGAGAAGGTCCCCAAGAGACACACGAAATGAAAGGAGGAGAGATGGGATCGAAAATAGTAAAAAAAGTGATGTTTGGAGGGGAAGAAATTGAAATTAGAAGGAGGAGATTATGGGAATACTTAGTAGAGGACGATCCAGAGGAAGGACTTGATCTATCTGGTTCGGAAAGATTTGCATTCTCAGTTGATGATGCGGTAAGTGTGAATAATGCAGGTTCGGCAGTGAGTAGGAGGTCATTATTGTTGTCGAAATTAAAACACGGATTGTTGAGTAGGCACAAGGAGAAAGAGGGTAGAAGGTTGTTTCCTTGGAAGTTTTGGTCGGAGAGAAAACATAAAGCAGCAGAGGAATTGAGGGACAACAACAATGTAGCTGATGATGAGATTGACAGAATTGGTAGAACTGGTCGGAAGAGGAAATTAGGTCTGGTCGATCATGACTTGGTATTAAGTGCAATGTCTAGAGCACTTGAAGCTACCGAGCAAGCCTACTTGGATATGACAGACAGGGTCCTTGATCGTTATCCGGAACTTGCATTGATGGGTTCTTGCATGTTGGTTGTATTGATGAGGGATGAAGATGTGTATGTGATGAATCTTGGGGATAGCCGTGCCATTGTAGCCCAGTGCGAAAGTGAAGATGTAGGTCGTGATATAGAACAGCAAAGTCTCAAGGATGGTGGTTTTGCTGGGGAGGGCATAGTTGAGGAGTCTGAGAGTACAGCAGTGAATAAAGCTCATGCACATCAATGTGTGAATCTGGCTGCACTGCAACTGTCCACTGATCATAGCACAAGCATAGAAGAGGTATGTTTATGCACTTTCATTGTTATTCTTTTGTACTAAACTTGATATTAAGTTTCTGATCATGATGAACACCCTTAATTGAATTTCTGAATATGTTTGCGCCTGTTGGATGTAGCGCGCTTTATTTGCGTACACTGTGAAAACATGCAATCACTTTGTGGATTATTGTATACTGTTCCTGAACACATGGATCATTGCCATATGCTAAATTAATATTATTTATGACAGATCTGTAGATGGAAAGTCTACTGATGATCATGCATGGTAGATAATGATAGTGGTTTGGGTGGGGAGATAAATGAATGCGTAGTGTAGGAGTTTCAAATGTTGAATAGTAGAGATCTGAGTCAGTTTGATGACTTTGTAACTGTGTGTTTTTATTGGATAACAAGGGAATTTGATTGCATCTTGAGGTTAGTTGTATCAGTTCGTGATAGAAATGAACTCGAGTGAAATAGTTTCAGAAAGTTCCCAATGTATTTCTCTGATCTCCCTTTATGCTAGTGAAATCAGCTTCTGAAAATCCTTAAGGTGGGATATTATCCCGTGCTTTCTAGCCTAAATGCTTTATCCTTTCTCTTTGTGGCTTATTAAGTTAAATTAAGTTGCTTGGAAGTTGGTACTGTCACATGCATGATTCATTAATTATTTAATGCAATTATCATTTTCAGGAAGTCAATAGAATCAAGAATGAGCACCCAGATGACAGCAATTGTATAGTGAATGGCAGAGTTAAAGGCCGTCTTAAAGTAACCCGTGCATTTGGGGCTGGATTTCTCAAACAGGTGTGTACATCAGCTCATAGCCAATATCTTAGTTTCTTTCACATCTGTGGTAGCCTAGCATCTTCATCCCGTTTTGTGTTTCTTGTCTTGGATTTTTCTTTGTCGTACATCTATCCTCACTTGGTCCTTGTTATGTGGCATACTTGCGTTTATGTTAAGCATCAGTATGGTCTCTGAATTTTAATCGAAGAGTTTTACTGGTAGCTTTATGTTTTACTCACAGCTTCTTAGCAATTTTTAACTGGTATTCATATTTCTTAGCTAATGTACATATGTCCATATGTATGTGGGTTGTAATTTTCCAATATCTTTATTCGCCAGTATCTTCCAGATGAAATTCTATGCTCACAAAAAAGAATATATTTCAACATCTGCTATGTAATTTGTCGGGCTCTCCTTTTCTTTCTTTTCGTTCTCTGCTTTTATGCACGTTGTCAGACTTGTAACTGTTTGTTTCGTGCCGATGCAGCGTAAATTGAATGATGCCTTGCTGGAAATGTTTCGGAATGACTATATTGGTACTGTCCCCTACCTATCATGCTCACCATCTCTACGCCACCACAAACTATTCCCAAGAGACCAATTTTTGGTGCTTTCATCAGATGGATTGTACCAATATTTTAGCAATGAAGAGGTAGTTTCACATGTGCAGAATTTTTTGGAGAGATTTCCTGATGGAGACCCTGCTCAGCACCTCATAGAAGAGCTCCTCTTCCGTGCTGCCAGAAAAGCTGGTAACTTTCGAGTTTCAAGTCTTTCTAATTTTGTAAATGGACATATAAGTTTCATGTCTTTCTTATTTCCCCCTTATTTTACATGCCAATTGTTGTTTGTTTGAGTTCACATTTTGCAGTTGCCTTACAAGGCACATGTGTTAAGGACTTTAAATGACTAATATCATGGGAGACAAATATGAGTAGTTTTTTTGTTGTATGATTCTATAGTAACTGAATAAAACTGGTTATAGGAATGATTATGAATTTATGTAAGGTTTGAAGAGAAAATTAGGTGGCGAACATTTGGTGGCAATCATAGGACTTTCTTTATTTGTATATATTTCTTGTAATGAAATAGAAAGAATATTCAGATGTGTGCTAGTTTTTTATAGCCTGTATATGTGTAGATCTTTCAGTAAAATGTGTTGTGTTTACTAGTTTGAGTCTGTATAAAATTGCCTAATTTTGTTTTGGCAGGAATGGATTTCCATGAGCTTCTGGATATTCCACAAGGAGACCGACGGAAATACCATGATGATGTTACGGTTATGGTGGTGTCTCTCGAAGGTAGGATTTGGAAGTCCTCTGGAAAGTACTTATGAGCATTTGCGAATGTTTAGAGTTCGTTTATCAGCTAAATCTGATAAGAACCTCATCATTCCATCTAAGGGAAGCAAGAGAGGAAAGGAATTCAGGCATGATAGAATTCATCACGTGCAATGAAGGCATGAAGAAATGGGGGAAAAGAAAATAGATGTTCTCAGGGATAGGAAATTTTTGTAGTTGCTGCTGTAAACTTGTGTTGGGAAAAAGCAGNGAAGATTGAAGAGCCTTGTCATTCGTTTGTTGGTCATGGTGGGATAGTGTTTAAGGGTTTAGTGGGTATGGGTTTTGGGACACCATTTAGATGCCTTCATGGAAGGTTTATTTGTAATTGTAACCCTGGAAATGAATTTCCAACCCATTTACAAGGAAAAAAGTATCTAAATTCAGTAGCATGTTGTAATTGTAAAATCAGGTGAAGTTGAGAAATCAGTGATATGAACAGAACATGAGAGCTTGGGTCTCTAATCTTCATGATAATATTTGACAACAATATGGCTCATTCAAAGGATTACACCATATAAATGTTTTAGAAGGAACATAAAATGGAAGTTATGTGCTAGAATTCTTCATTTCTTTTCTCTAGCTTATTTCATGTTTTTCCTCAAACAAAAATTAAATAGTTTTGGACACTTGGATTACAATCCTATGTAACCACTCGGTTGTGCAATGTAATATGAAAATGCACTTATCGGATTTCTCTCTCAAAACAACACCAAAGGTTCATTACTCATTTATCCCATTTCAGTGTCAAAATCAGCAAACACTGATTTGAAGTAGCTGCTCAAGTTGGTACTGAAACGCAGGAAGTATTTTANAGAAGAAGTGCACACAAAGCACAGCATCCTGATCAGACTGAAGTTGTGGAGGCTCTAAACTTTCCCTGTGCCCATGCTAATCGTTTATTGCTCTTTAGTCATACAAAAGTTCCTCTTGATGTGGGGTTTAAAATAAAATCCAGAGCATAAAGGTATAGTGTTAGCATGTCATCAATTTATCATATGCAATGGCCCCCAATTTTGAAGCAGCAGTTATTTCCACCATTGCATCAACAATAAAACCGCCTGTCGCCTTACAACTTCTCATATACCGACCAGTTTGCAGAATTTCTAATCTCTTATTTACAGTGCCAATTTAACATGTCACTCTCTTGATACAAAAGAAGATTCTTCATCTACAAAAGTCTGATTACCAGCATACTTCCGAATCTTCACGTAACTAGGTGCTTATTAGGTCCCAATAATCCAATTTTTGCAAATCCAACGTTTCTATCTATCTATTGTAAATTACATAATTCATATCTCAAGAAATACAGGCAGCAAAATACAGAACTATTGAGTAAAGAACTATAAGGGCAAAGCATATAAAAGAGAGGAAAGTTCTTACTTTAAATCCACTTTCATGCACGGTTGCAAGCTTGTCTCATCACCAGAAAGGCCACCAACGTAAGATACCTGGGCATATATTAGTTGACATAAAAAATTAAATAAACAAACAAAGAAACACAGTATTTCCATTGTATAGTACATAGATAAAATAAGTTACCACCTTGAGTGAAAAAGAGGTCCACAGGCAAAAGATCTCATTCTCAGTTGCATTAATTAGTAACAAAAGGCATCCAAAATTTCATTTAGCATTGTCATCAAAGAGAACGTTGTAAAATCTTTTCCTTTCCTCGGCATCAAATATGCCTCCAAGATGACCACTTTCATCATCTTCGTTAGCATTCTCATGGCTGCCTCTCTTCATTCTTTCTTGCCTAACAGCTACAATACCTTTCTTCATCTTCTTCTTCTTTTCTAAGTTCATTAGGTAGTGCCTTCGGTTATACTCATGAAGTCCTTCCTGCATTAATTCCCCAAACTTTTCCTTCACAACAACGAGCGGATCCTTTTCAATCAATTCGGAGCCACTGTATCCTTCCCTAAGAAGAACAGTATAAATCTGATATTTGTTCGAAACATAAAATATACCAGGATGCTTGAGAAGCAAAACATTTAATTTCTCAGGTAAGCAGAATTCTCTTCTAAAATGACCTAATTTGGCAATCGATACTTTCTTCCACAAAGTCAGAGATAATAACTCATGCACCAAACCTATGGTTCTCTTGTCCGTTTCGTGTGATTCGCCTGTCAACTCCACATACGGTGAAATGTATGGGGTGGAATTGAACTCTCGAAATCTCTCCCATGATTTCATCCAATTTTCTGGCAAAGAACATGTAAAGCACGGCTCGCGATTTTCCTTCTGAGCTAACATCTCAACTGCCGAAACTGCAAAATCTGGATTCCATGATATAAGCTCAATATCCATTGAACTTCGCCTCCCGGTATAATTGATGACTCTGAACATGTCTGTGTGCTTAGGAACAATCCGAAGTAAATAATCATCAGGAAAGCCGAAATTTCTCTTCAATTCATTGATTTTCATAACACTGAGTCTTTTGTTTCTACTCAACATCAACAACTTTGCCAATCGCTTTACGAAAACCGGTTCCTGCAAATCTCAAACGCTTTCTTCCTCATCGACCAGAAACTTTTCATCCTTTTCGTTAACTGACAAAAATACTTATCATTCTCGAGGTGCACTTCGAAGCAGCAAGGGTACTTCTTTACCCAATTAAGTGCCTTGCCCTGAAGATCGAGGCTTTTGAATTTTTTCTGAAGATAATCAATGGGAGCAACTTGATTCGGACATCTAAGGATTATGTTCTTGATCTGATTATTCACCACCCATCTACGATTTCGAGACAAAGCTGATTCGAGATCCGGGTCTTTCTTCATCGACCACAAAGAAAATCTTCTCCGAAAATATTGATGAAAAATGGAAGCATGACATTTTAGGCTTTGAGGGTGCACACCAATGACAAATTTGTATCCTTGTTCATATATTATATCCTAAATTTCCTGAAATATAGTATTTGCATCTGTAAGAAATTAAACAAACAATCCCAAATAAGCATAATTGTTTCAGTTAAAAAGAGTGTATCATATAATTGCAGCAGTGGAATAGGTTTGGTCATTATAGGTTTTGCCCATGTATCATCCCATTCAACTTTTTTCTTAGTTCTTGAACTTCAACCACCAAATATTTGATATGTCAGCTTGATATGATTCTTCCACGCAATATGAAAATCAAAACTCACCACAAATTGATTCAGCCGAGTAATTTATCGAAATAATTTTGATAAACAGAGCTAAATCCAATTTTCATTTTTCAGCTGCAGAAAAATGTAGTGAAATAAAAAAGATCATCTGTATTCTGTAGTGGGCTGTGCGCTGCGAGAAAACTCGCCGGAGGATGAGAACTGTAGGAGCGGACGATGCAGGCGATGGTGAGATTTTAGTAGGGGGCTTTTGGTCTCTGTTTTGTTCAAATGTTTCGGCGCTTACGAGTTATTACGGGGTTCGAGTGAAGGATTTTTAAGCTCCGAGAAAAACTACGGTCTCCGGCGATATTGGGTGGAGACCTTTCCCATCTCACATTGGCCGACGGTAGTAGCAATGTGACGGTAGTAACTCGTAACTAGGGCCGCATCTCTCATCGGAGAGCCACTGTTTTCTCTCGCCGGAGAGCCGCATCTCTCTCAAGGAGAGCTCCATACTAGGCGAATTTCTTCTCCCTTTCTTCTTTGCTATTATTTCTTCGTGGAGTGAGATGGAAGATTCGAAATCTGCTTCAACTGCAGATGAGGTGGAAAATCAACTTAGGGTTTTTTCCCTTTCGGAAATTGAAAATAAAGTCATCGATTTACAGGAGGACGATGTTAAAACTGGTGTTGAGGAGTGCCACAAAAGCCTATTTGGTCGTATCGTAGGAGACAAGCAAGCTAATTTGGCTGGCCTAAAGAAGGCGCTGGGACACATATGGCGATTGAAGAACTCGTTGGAGGTGCGTGAGCTTGGCGTTTATCTTTTTCAGTTCATTTTCGCAAATATGGAGGATCTTAAAAAAGTGGAAGGTGGTACCAATTGGATCTTTGAGAATCAATTCTTGATTCTAAGGAGATGGGAACCAGGGATGAACAGATCCGCACCATGTTTTTCTGAACTTCAATTTTGGGTCCAGGTTCATCATGTTCCTATTAACTGGCTCACATCTGAAGTCGGCTTAAAAATTGGCGAAGTATTTAAGGAAGTTTCTAATGTAGTAGTTAGCAATTTGGCTAATCACGGGGGCCGACTGATCAAGCTTTTGGTCACAGTGGATATTAATGAGCCGTTGCCCAGGTGTGCCTCTATCAGGCTACGTTCTCAAGTGGTTACAGTCACATTCAAGTATGAGCGCCTTGTGAATTTGTGTTTTTATTGCAGGAAGATAGGGTATATCGAAAAAGCCTGCAGCCAAAGGGTCGAGGATATTCGCAATAAAGTCCTTAAAGAAGGCCAGTTTGGAGATTGGTTGCGGACATTTGACGGTCTCTATAGCCAAAACTGGTTTCATGCTAGCTCTTCTTCGGGCCAAACAAAAGCACCAACATCCTCACCCAGTCACTCCAATCCTACTAATATTGAAGAGTGGGGCTGCCTTAAATGTGGAAACATCTCCATATCACTCGGACCCCACACTGCATTCTGGGTTCAACTCACCGCAGGAGGTTCAAGCCACAGCATCTGCAAAGCTCAACTAAGGGCTGGTAGTTTTTAATCCCATTCCAGTGGTCTCTTCTCCACCCCTGCAAGCTTTTAATGATAGCCATAGTGCGGTCATGGAGCTTGTTGATATCCGACTTGACTGAATGGAGATTAATCACATTATTGAAGAAATAATCTCCTGAGAAGGTGAACTTACTATAAGTCGGTATTAATTGAAACTAATTACCGAAACTTCTACATAGTTACCGACTCCGGAAGGTCTTCGAAAAAACCGATATCCGAAGCCAACATAAATAAACCGACTTCAGTTCAACCGACTATCACGAAGTCTGAATATTCCAACAGAAAGTAATCATTAGAAGCATTTGATTGGACCAACGAAACAAAAAGGCAATCATTGATGTTTCCCGCCGCTTCAAGTGAAGCAGCTCAACATTAAATGCATCTTTATCCATTTCAAGGAAGAAGACAAAAGCCACCGTACTATAAATAGCTGAATTTATGATAGTACGAGGATCTTCTTCTTTTTCGAACACATGGTACATGAACTAAAAAACGATCTCGGTTTTCAGTCTAAAACCGACTTCTGTACTCGTTATTATAACAAATAAAATCAAAATGAATACTTATTCTAGTTTTCTTGACACCTGCTGTGTTTAATTTTAAGTTGTTAATTCAAAACAACAACAGTTTGGCGCTAGAAGGAGGGCCGCTTGAACCTCCGATTGTTTGTCTTGTATACAATATAATACAAGGATGTCGAATTCTGGGCGAAACGAACGTAATCCAGATGCTGGAGTTAATCGTCACCCAATTCACACAACTGGAAATTCAACTGTGCCATCTACATCAATTGATTATTCAGCCTTGTTTCAAGATCCAGAGTTCTTGAAAAATTTAACTGATTTCATGGCACGAACAAGAATAGAATCAACTGCAGCGGTTAATCTTCAAACTCGTCCTGCATCAGTTTCACAAAGGAACGAAATTCCTGCTACATCACATGCAACTTCCCGTCCACGTACACATACATCACAACATGATATTGCAACTCAAAATCGTGGAGTAGTTCCTGTACGAACACATATTCCTGAAGCAGTTCGATCAGAAGCAACTGCAGAAAGCCATTCTGGGCGTCGACCACGACAGCCTACTCCGTCGTTGCCCGAAGTCTTACGACATGATCAACCCTCTGATTTACGACATACTCTTGAACAGAACCATACTCGTCGTGGGCAAAATGAGTTACGTCGTCTAATCGAAAGAAATCGTTTAAGACGTGAATCAGAAGAGCTGGAGATACTCAGAAAAAGAATTGCTGAGTTAGAAACTCGGCAAGATGAACATGGAGAATCACCACGACAAATTCCAATGACAGAAGAAATATATCAAGAGGTTGGAACTCCTTTGGCCCCTCATTTGACTAGGGAGCCTATTCCAACTAAAGTAAAAGTTCCACAAATCGGCTTATATGATGGAACTTCCGATCCTGATGCTCATCTTGGTCAGTACACGTCTTGGATGGATCTTCATGGAGCAAATGAAGCACTCAGATGTCGGATGTTTTCCTTAACTTTGGGACCTCGAGCTCAAAAATGGTATCATTCTCTATCTCGGTACTCAATTTCCACATGGCAGCAATTGAGAACGGCTTTTCGCTCTCATTTTATTGGGGCCCGAGTTTCTTTAATTCCCAAAGAATCAATCGCAAATATTGTACAAAAAGATGATGAAAGTGTGAAAGACTATATTACTCGGTTCAACGAACGCATACAAAATATGGAGCAATGCCATCCTGAAACGCTATTGGTCACAGCCATAGCCGGATTGAAGCCAAATTCGTTGTTCCGATGGAGTATATGTCAGAATAAACCAACTTCATTTCAAGACTTTCTAGCTCGGGCTCAACAACATATTTTAGCCGAAGAATCAATGTCGGTTCCTAATATCGACTTTTCCTCGCTGAAGTCGGAAGTCGGGCAAGAGTCAAAAAAGAAGAAAAGTAAATTCTTCAAACCAAATAAGTCTCGATTTGGGAATCCAAAGATGCCTGAAGTGCAAGAAGCTAGAACTAAATATCTTAATGAAGTCAAATCTAGCTACCAGACGGTATTCTTGGCAGGAGCAGCAACTATATTTGAAGAACTCAAAGGGAAAGGAATTCTTCCTGATCCTCGACCCGTCAGAACTCCTGAAGAAAAACTTGATAAAACGAGATATTGTTCATACCATAAGTCGGCAGGCCATAACACTGACGAATGCCTTGGTTTACTTTCTGCCTTGTTGCGACTTATTGGACATCCACAAGTCCAAAGATTTGCCAATAATGTTGATTATAAACGGAAGGGAAGAATGCCGGATTTACCAGATGATGACGACGATGAAGAACATCCAATTAATCCAAAACGGGTGAGATCAAGTGATAAAGAAATATATATGATGAATCAAAAAGAAAGAGATTCGATGATAACTACTGAAACGATGTGTCGAGGAGGATACTATAATCCTGACAATTCACACCATGTACCTCGGGTCAATAACAGTAGCAATACAATGTTTGAATCACGGCGGCAAATGAAGGCGTATGCTCGAAAAGCTTTCAATTCGGGTAAAACTGTTCTGACGACCGACCTCCGAGATAAAATTAATGCTCAAAATAATTGTCCCATAACGTTCAATGTGGATGATGCAAGTTACTTCGCCCACCCTCATGCTGATCCTCTAATAATCACGGCACCCATTTGCGGTATACCGATACATCGAATGTTAGTGGACCCCGAAGCATATTCAAGTATTATGATGTTACGCACGTTCGAACAAATGAGAATTGATCCAGCCGAGTTGAGACCCTATAAAGATCAAGTACAAGGCTTTAATGGAACAGTTACGCCAACCCTTGGTGAAATTACTATGCTAATTCGGTTTGGAATCCCTGGACAAGCTTCCAAAGTTATTATGGAAACATTTAAAGTGATGGATCTTAAAAATCAATATAATGCTATCATTGGAAGGACAACTCTGTATAAACTTCGTGCTGCTGTCTCGATCTTTCATTATGCTCTGAAATTTCCCACCAACAATGGAGAAGGAACTCATTGCGGAGATCAGTACGAAGCTCGTGGAATGGTATGGGTCAAACCTTGGCATGAACCATGCACACCTATACACATGATGGAGAATATTGAGGAAAGCCAAGAAGATTCAACACTTATCAACTCGGAATCATACAATACCGAGATGGAACTTGACCCAGCGAAATCAAATAATGATCTGGTTTGTAATTGTGGACGACG